CCAAGTCCCTCTCGGCAGGGCTGCTCTCAATCCTTTCTTCCCCCAGCCTGTATTGATACTGGGGGTTACCCTGACCCAGGTACATGACCTTGTGCTTGGCCTTGTTGAACCTCATGAGGTTCACACAGGCCCACCTCTCCAGCCTGTCCAGGTCTCTCTGGATGACATCCCATCAGATGCATCCCGTATCAGATGCACCTTTTGCACTTGTGATTGCGTGCAAATCAGGGACAGATATTTACTGCTTAAAAGTAACCTAGAAGTGACTCTGTTCCTTATTCACCATCTAAAATGGAGATAAGTAGCACTTCTGTTCTTACAAGGGTGTCATGGGAACAGATGAAGTTGATGGTAGTCAATTATTCTGGTAAGTCTGCATGAGCCCCCAAGATTAAGAGAAAGGATTAAAAAGGGTCTCAGCTACCTGAATGAACAACAGCAGTGCTGGCAAGTCTTTAAACTTTAGCACAATCCTCTCAATCTGCGATGTTCTTAAAGATCAAGTGAGCTTTCCTTAAATAACAACCAAGGTTTTAGAGCTGATGGTCACAAATTAAAATACAAAAATATAACCAAAGTCCAAGCTAGGGTTTAATGTCTAAATAAATACCAGTTTCGCATAAATCAATTGTATGGAAAATGTTCTTTGCCCTCTGAAACTGTGAGGTTCTGCAAAGTCCTGCACTACCGCTGAGCTGGAGTACTACTTACGTTGTGGCCTAGGACATGAGCCCTAGATTGAGTTGGACCAATTCAGGTAGGAAGGATGCAGGGAGCTCATCCCACCACCATCCTGCCCAAGGCAGGGTCAGCACCACGGTCCCACCAGCAACCAACTGCTCTGGTGAGGATCCTCGCACACCTTGGGGCACCCTGCGTACCCAGCAAAACACACACATTCATCACAAGAAGGATTTACACACTTTCACCTACAAATCTCACACAGAAACAGGGAATAAACAAATTGCTACGATTTCTACATTACAACGGTGAAAGATATTTCTCCGCAAGAGTCAGGAAGCCCTCTTGATTATGAAATACCTCTCCTACAGCTTTCCCCTTTAGGTATTATAATAACAAGAGCAGTGGCTTGGAAATAAACAAAAGTGAAGATGATAACAAAAGCATAAGCAACGTTTAACAACCTCCTCTTCTAGAAACCAAGTGCCACCAGAGCAGACAGACAAACAGAGCAAGTGCTATGGTGGTTTTAATGATGGGAAGCTCTCTTCCCTGACATCAGTGTTGTCTTCTTGAAATGCCTGCACAAATTAACAGCATATGCTGTGGTTGGAACAGCTTTTCTTGACCCTCAACATTTAGAAGTTAAGCACCTAATTTAAGTTATTCCCACCAGCCTTTTCTGCAGTCGCTGGAGACAGGCAGTCGCCAGACCAGCAGAGCTCTGCTGAAGCATGAGAGCTTAAGCCTTCAGTTTCCAGAGGCAATGCTACTGGTGCAACCATATCAAAAGCAGAAGAATGAACACATACTCACCTGGATGCCTCTTGTTTTCTTAGAGACTTTTAAGAATAATCTGGGCTTTTTATTTACTTTTTTTTTCCTTCCCCTCCACTAACACC